CTAGGGTTGGTGGCCGCAACAATTTTCTTGCTAGGGTTGGTGGCCACAACAATTTTATTGCTAGGGTTGGTGGCCCCAACAATTTTATTGCTAGGGTTGGTGGCCCCAACAATTTTATTGCTAGGGTTGGTGGCCCCAACAATTTTATTGCTAGGGTTTGTGGCCCCAACAATTTTATTGCCAGGATAAGAAATGAATTCTTGATACTAAGATTGTAATACTCATGTTTTACTATGCACATGTCCTGCCTGTTTACAGCCTGGCAGGGCACTGAGACAGGGTTTAACCTGGCAGACGCAATTTTGCTTAACGCCACCCGTGTTGGACACGCCTATGCTTTGAGCAAACACCCCAAATTTCTTCAGTTGATTCTACAGAAGGGGATCCCTGTTGAGGTGCAGCCTATTTCAAATCAGGTGAGTTCAATCTGTCGAGTGGCAACCAACTTCCAATCAGGTGAGTGCAATCTGGGACAACCCATTGCCAATCAGTGAGTCCATCTGTTTAGGTGCAATCATATCATGCAACCCATATCCTATCAGCTCAGTTTAAAGAAACTATATTTTTTTAAGTGATGAAAATGTGGGGGAGATGTTGAAGGAGGGGGAGGGGGGGGGAGGAGACAACATAAAATATAATAAATTAAATTCTTGACAATCTTGACAATTTAAAAAACGGTTATGTTAACTGATCTATGGGCTACAGCAATCGTGAATCAACAACATTGCACAATTTCTCTCGACTCTCTACCAGGTTTTACGCCTGGTCAGCGACTTCCGTAATCATCCGATGGTGTCACTGATGGCCCAGAACCTGTCTTTGGTCATTAGCTGCGATGACCGCACCACCATGGAATCGGCACCGCTGTCCCATGACTTCTTTGTGGCGTTCACGGCCATGTCCAGCGAAGACGCTGATCTGACCCTCTTGAAACAGCTGGCCATCAATTCCATCAAGTGAGCACACTGTCGAAAATTAACTCATTGATTAGCTTGGTGAAGTCAAATAATATTTTTATTTGTGTATATTTTAAAAAAATCCTTTATATAAAATTGACTTTTATTGACAAAATCTTCGGGCGGCTAATTGACCCACTTCCCGTCAACCCATTGAGCTGAAATTTGGTACACAGACTCGTTCCCGATGACAAAAAATTTAGCCCCAAATTTTTGAGCCCCACATCCAAACCCCTAACCATAATTTTTATTGTCCTGTTCATCAAATGGAAGATGAAGGGAATATGATCACGGCGGTTTCGCAAAATAAATATTCCAATAACTGAGCTAACTGAGATTCCCCTTTTTTTTTTTTTTTAAATATCGCAAGTGCGTTTGGTGCGCAATATATTTTTGTTGTCCTGAAATAGTAGGTGAAATCAATCTGGGGCATGAAAGCGGGTGGGACATTAGAAAATTAATATTAGTTCAGGGGCGTGTAAGAAAATGTGCGGTTGCAAGCTCTTGCGATGGGGTTGGGTTTGGGGAGCGCTAATTGGTATTCTTATACAATGCCTTACTTGTATGCATGTTTTGTCAAATTGTCAGCTCCACCCCCCCCC